GGCCAATCCGCCCCTGGGTGTACATAAAAGTATAATAGCTTTGTTCAATGTGGTCATGTACTCGTAAGAACTAGTAACTGCTACATTTCTTGATCGTATATGACTAAGGAAAGTAAAGTATTTATATTACATGGCAGATTAAATATAGGAATATAACAATGATGTAACATGGGCCAGGAACACATAGTATAAATAATATGCAATCATAATGTGACAATCGTGTCAAACAGAGATTTTAAGGATACAGAGTTTTCAGCATTCACGTTCAAAAACATGAGTCGGTTTTTAAGTGTTCAGAGCTCATATACATAAACCAAACAGTGGCTGTCCTTTAGCGTACACACAGCCGAAACATTGGATGGCTTCAGTGCACTCGACTTATCATCTTCATCGTCGTCTGAGTTGTCAAGCTTAATAAACACCTCTTCTTCCTTCTTCTAATTGTTGCATGTCTGTAGCTCACACACGTCTGTGTATGCTAATCCATTGGCAAGGCAAGGGCATCTTGGAAGCTTGCAGGATAACAGTTCCAAGACTGCATATGGAGCTGGTGGTGTGCACATCCACTTAATGACTAAAAAGGCCATCTTAGCCTATAGTCCATCCAAACACTTTAGGGTTTGGCAAATCAGGGTAACTCTGAAGACAAGCACTTCCAGATTGCTGCTTGGTAGTTTGCATGAAGTGCATGCATGTAGAGGCAGACCCTGCATGTTGGAAGCATGTAGAGGCAGTCCATGCATGTTGGAAGCTGACTTGATTCAATCTCTTCTCGTTTGGCACAGAAAAGCTGGTACCTCAGTTCATTCACCTCATGAGTGCTGGTCGTTGTTGAGTACAGGTGACAGGTAAACTGTTCTACCTTCTCAAACAGCTCTATAGGTACTTCCCAGGACTGACCAAGTTGGCTGAAGGTGTCCCAGTAGGTGCTCTCCTTTCTCACAAGTTTCAGGCCCCCTGTGAAGGCACAGACTGTGTCACATCCAGTAAAGGCATGTAGTCCAATTAGTGCTGTGCAGATGCTGTTTCACAGTGAACTTGACAGTTTGCCAATGTCGATGAACCTCGTGCAATTCCGTGTTCCACATTTCTGATACATAGAGTAGGGGATGTCTCCACTAGAGCTAAGGCAAAGCACCACCATGGAGATAGAGTAGGGGATGTCTCCACTAGAGCCAAGGCAAAGCACCACCATAGAGTAGGGGATGTCTCCACTAGAGCTAAGGCAAAGCACCACCGAGATCTGTGTCTTCTGCTGTCACTGTGATCGCTTTTGACACGGTCTTTGCAGCGTGAAGTGCATGTAGGAGCAGTGGGTATCAGCTTCTTCTCGAGTAGATCTCATTTCGGTAACTTTCATCCGGTCATCTTGTGGCAGACATATTCACGGGTTACATACAGTGTCTTGTAGCTTTTCTCTGAACTTCGGAAGATTTCATTCTTCGACCACGAATTTGATCAGGCTTGACTTGTTGTAGGAGCTGCACATGAACTTCCTCCATTGCTGGACTTCGTGGCCTCCTGCAATGTTCTTGAACTGAAGAGATTTCCTGTGTTATCTCTCACCGTTTTTAATCGGCGTCTCTCGATATACGTGTAAAACGCAAACTTTTAATTAAGACAATTTTCATGAAGATTTCAAATGGCTCAAAGAGCATCCAAAATTCACTAGAATGTGTCTAGTGCTGTTGCTACCTCTTATAAAACATAAAATAGTAGATCTTTATAGTTTTGAGTGATATTTTCTTGAAAAATCATGAAAACCAGCAAAATTTGTACAAAACTGGAGCAAAAAAACTGAAAAACATGATTAAAATTTGGGGTTGCCATAGCAACCTGGATAAAGATACGTACCAAAATATATTATCAAAATAATTAAATTTGCAACAAAGTCGACAAAATTGGTGGCAATTGGGGCCACAACGAAAAAGTGAGCAACATAAAATGTAATAGGTTTTATAGGGTTAATACGAAAATTGGCGATGTGCCAGAAAAAAGGACAAAGCTAAAAAAGTTTATCACATATTTTCTTACTTTAAGGGGTGGTTCAAATAATTTGTCACCAATGAAGTTTTCTCCCCCCGGGTGGTACCGTCTGGTACCAGACGTCTGGTCTGGCCCATGGACTAATACCCAAATATAAATATGGCCATGCAACGTTTCGGCTTGTTACTTAGGTCATCTCCATTGTTAAAGTTTCTAGACAGTCAATAATATTGTCCGTTAACTTCATTGTTGTATTTACATCACGCGATTAGAACATTCTTGTGATTTCATATTTTATATTCTTCCTAATTTTCATTAAATTCTCACTGTACCCTTTTAACAATAATATTATTATTACAAATTGCATTTTTGTACATTTTATTTTGTTAATATTTATCAATTGGATTTATTGTTGTCATATTCAGATATTTTCGTCTGTCTAAAGCGTAAATGTTAAGACTGAGAAGTGGACTTACAACACAAAAATCAGAGGTTCGATTTCCTCCGGTGGACAGAATGCAGATAACTTGTTGTGTAGCTTTGCGCTAAGAAATCCCCCCCCCCCCCAGTGGCACAGCGGTATGTCTGCTGGCTTACAACACTAAAAACCGGGTTTCAATACCCGTGGTGAGCAGAGCACAGATAACCCATTGTGTAGCTTTGTGCTTATTTATATACAAACAAGCACTAAGAAAACAACAATAAGACTTAGAAACAGGGAGACTGAAGAGAAATCCACTTATAATAAGGTTGCTTTTATTTTACCAGTAGGATTACTTCTGAGTAACAATACAATGATACTTATGTGAATAATAGGGAATACATTAGCATAATTGATTAGTATATTTCCACGTTTACTACTAAGAACCCAGAGATACACAAATGTCTAGCGTGTGGTACATTGTCTTCGAAATAAGAGTAAGTAAGCACAAGTAATGCAGACCTTTAGAAAACTGTTAGCTTTACATTTAATACAAACTTCAGTATTGAATGCCATTCGAGGAGAGAGATATATATACATGAAAGAGCTATTAATGGGGTTATTTTCTACACATTCAGTAACATCGTGTATAGCTACTGCTGGGAGGAGAGGAGACCGAAATATAAAAGAAGCATTTCATGAATGGCTCCTTTAGAAATGATGGTCACGAATGGATTTCATAAAACACGTAAAATAATTGTTCTTTCGTGTAAGCTATATCGGTCGAACCGATTCATAGTAGTCTG